ATGATTTCCTGGTTCCCAGGACGCCCGAGACGGCCCTAAGACGGCCCCCGAAGGCCTTAAATGGACGTTCAAAAAGGCCCGGAGGGCCATAGTTCGTTGATTTGCGCGAGATGTTGTTGGATTTCTTCCGCGCGGAGGAGGCGGAGAGGGCGAAGGAGGAGGAGGAGGAGGAGAAGGAAAAGGAGAAGGAGGAGGAGGTGGGGAGGAGGAGTGGAGGGGAGGAGGGGGGGAGAGAGGCGGAGGCTCGAGGGCGATCGACGATCGGCGACGACGACCGGCGACGGTTATTGACGACGACGGCGACGACGACGGTCGACGAGCGACGACGACGACGATAGAAGACGATGACAATAGTCGACGTCGCCGATCGACGAACGACGGCGACGACGACGACGACGGCCGCGCCGACGGCGGCGACGCTGTCCGCGTGCGCAGAGCCACCCTGGACCCAGTCTTTTCTGCATCGTTCGAAATCCTGTCCCCGGAAGCGTCTCTGGGAACATGATTTCAGGAGGAAGAGGAAGAGGAGGCATATTAGGAGGAGGAGGAGGAGGAGGAGGAGGAGGAGGAGGAGGAGGAGGAGGAGGAGAGGAGGAGGAGTGGGCGGGAGGGCTCGGGGCCGATCGACGATCGGCGACGGTGATCGGCGACGGTGATTGACGATGACGACGGCGGTCGTCGACGGCGACGACCGACGACGACGACGACGACGATGGACGACGACGACAACAGTTGACGCCGCCGATCGGCGAACGGCGACGACGACGGCGCCTTCACAGTGCCACCCCGAGGAGCCCCAAGACGGCCCAAGAGGGACCCGAGATGACCCATGATAGCTACAAGCCAGCCCATGAGAGCCCCAAAAGGCACCCAACAGAGCCACAACGGGGGCAAGCAGAGCTGCCTATAGAGATTCTGGGGAGGCCTCTTCCGCAGCGTCCGAAATCATGTTCCCCGAAGCCTCTATCGGAACATGATTTCGGGGTTCCCAGGACGCCCAAGGGGGCCCTAAGACGGCCCCGACAAGTCCTAAAAGGACGCTCGAAAAAAAAACCGGAGGGACACAGTTCGCTGATTTGCGCGACATGTTGTTGGATTTCTCGCACGCGGAGGCGGTGGAGGAGGAGGGGGGAGAGGAAAGGAGGGAGAGGAGATGAGGAGATGGACGAGGAGGAGGAGGAGGAGGAGGAGGAGGAGGGGGAGGAAGAGGAGGACGAGGGGGGAGGAGGGGGGTGGAGTGAGAAGGGGGGCGGGGTGGGGGGGGGGGAAGGGAACAGGGATGACGATGATGATGATGATGCTGATGATAATCATGATGACGGTGATGATGATGATAATGATGATGATGATGGTGATGATGAGGAGGAGAGGAGGAGGAGGGGGAGGAGGAGGAGGGGAGGAGGAGGAGGAGGAGAGGAAGGAGGAGGAGGAGGAGGGGGAGGAGGAGGAGGTGGAGGAGGAGGAGGAGGAGGAGGAGGGGGGGGGGGGGGAGAAGGAGGGCGAGGAAGAGGAGGAGGAGGAGGAAAAGGAGAGGAGGATGAGGCGGAGGAGGAGGAGGGGCGGGGAGGAGGAGGACAGGAGGAGGGGGGGAGGACGTGGAGGAAGAGGAGAAAAGGAGGAGGAAGAGCAAGAGGGAGGCCTCCCCCGAGTGTTCCTTTTATCCGATGTGGCCCAATGCTTGCGCGGCGTCGCAGCGACGTTTGGCGAGCCATGTAGTCTGAACAGGAGGAGGAGAATGAGCAGGAGAAGGAGGAGCGAGAGGAGGAGGAGGAGGAGGGGGAGGAGGACGAGGACGATGGGGGGGGGCGGAGGAGGAGGAGGAGGAGGAAGAGGAGGAGGAGGGAAGGAGGAGGGAGAGGAGGAGGAGGAAATGATGAAGATGATGATGGTGATGGTGATGATGATGTGATGATGATGATGAATGATGAGGAGGAGGAGGAGGAGGAGGAGGGGGGAGGAGGAGGAGGAGGGGGGGAGGAGGAGGAGGAGGAGGAAGGGAGGAGGAGGAGGAGGGAAAGTAGGAGGAGAAGGAGGAGGAGAAGGAGGAGGAGGAAGAGGAGAAGGGTGAGGAGGAGGGAAAGGAGGAGGAGGGGAGGAAGGGGGCGGAGGAGGAGGAAGGGGGGAAAGGAGGGGGCGATGGGGGAAGGAGGAAGAGTAGGAGGAGAGGAGGAAGAGCAGGGGGAAAGAGGAGGACGAGGAAGAGGTGTCGTTTTCGGCCGCCTCGGGCCGCCTGGGGGTGAGGAGCGCCCAAAAGCTTTTCGAATCACGACCGCGAAACTCGACGAATAACCAAAGGGCATTCAGCCTTCAACCTCCTCGTCCGTCGTTTGGCCGTTGCCCTGGACGAAGCTAGAACCTTAGCGCGCGCGCGCGCGTAGCGCGCGCGTGGTTCTAGTATATATATATATATATATATATATATATATATATATATATATAATGCAGAGGCTATATACACTGGGCGATCCGCACGCTTCCACGCGGATGTCGAAAGCCGCCCTTTCAGCATTACCCGCGGCACACAACAGGGTGATCCTCTTACTTCTCTGCTCTTCAACGCCCTGCTGGAAGACTTGTTTCGCGCCGTGATGCCGGAATGGGAAAGGGAAACATATGAATTGACATTGGGGTACACATCGGTCTCCCAGCTGACGAATCTGCGATTTGCGGGCGACGTGCTTCTCACCGGGGGCATTTTGGTACAAATCAAAAGAATGTTATCTGATGTGCGGCGTGTGGCTGGCGGTGTCGGTCTTTTCCTGCACCCCGACAAAACAAATATCCTCACCAACGCTACTGTGGGAACTGGCCGCGGCCGAGCCACACATGCTATTGTGGATGACCTCGACATAGAGATCGTGGGCGTGGCCGGCTTTGTCAAATACTTGGGGAGTCTGTTGACGTTCAACGATCCGACATAGACTGACATTGAGCACAGATTTCCGACAGGTTTGGACATCATTTAAGTGACACAAACATGAGTTGTTGAACAAACGTTATTAGTTGAAAAACCGGTTGCTTCTGTTTGAAAGTGTCGTCACGTCCACGTTCTGGTACGGGCCCTAGAGCTGGCTCCTCATAAAGAGTATGGAGAACAAAATTCGGCGGACCCAGAGGGGGAGCCGCGAATAATTCTTTGGGCTGGCCGGAGGCGCCGGCAACCAGACGCAGGAAGTGCATCGTCTTTTGCTGCTTCGTTTTCATCATCTTCATCACCCGCCAATGTGTCTACACAAATGTCAATTGGAGACCAATGCCCTGAGATCGGTGAGGAGGACGAACACCTTGAGCCGTGGGTGGACTGGATACAACGAGTCACGCATCACATGGACGACCAGATGCTCCAGCTTGGCGTCGATGACTCGTGTTCTGCGTGGCGCCGCAAAATCTGGGAGTTTGCTTTGCGAATTGCGCAACTGCCTGGCGACTGGTGGGCTTGCAGATCATCGCAATGAGACCCTAAAGACCATGCGCGCCGAAAGGGCTGACGGCCAAACCGGCCGAAGAGGCGATGGTGTGACGCAGTTCGTGATTTTCTATGTTCTCGTGGACTGACAGCCACGCCGCTGAACTGGTGCGAGTATGCTCGCGACGCGCCGCCATGGTGGAGATGGGAAATTGAGTTTTGCAGGATACAGTAGAGTAGCGCCACGGTGCTTTTCCACCCCTCCCCGTGGTGGGACAGGCTCGCCTGATGCGGTGGTCCGTCCGTCCGTCCCGTCTGTGATTCGCGCGCCTGGGACGGCTTCCAGTACCGATTCAATAAATCCGCTGGGACCTCCGAAAGTGTGTTCATCGCCGCTCTTGTTCCACTTTGTCCCAGCCATGGTATGCCGTTCCCCCCAGAGATGGAGGTGTTCCGTTCTATCCATTACATGGCTGCCGAGTCCCCGCTTCTCGCTGTTGATGTGCTCAGAGCTTAGTGGGCCCCGGAAACAGCAGAGCCTTTTTTTGTTCCACCGTTTCCGAAAAAAAAAAAAAAAAAAAAAAAAAAAAAAAAAAATTGAACATGGATGTGGTGAACAAGTGCAACCGGACGCGGCAACAAAAACGGAACCAGAACCGGAGCCAAAACCCTGAACCGGCAACAAAAACGGCGACGGAACAAAAAACGGCGCCGGAATTGGCAAAACAACGGCAAGACGGAACCGATAAACAACAGCCTTGTTTTTCCCGGGGCCTGCTAAGGTCGCCCCCCCCCCGTCCCCACACAACAGACGGAGGTGCGCCCTTTCGATCCAGTACACGGCGGCCGAATCCCTTTTCTCGCTGCTGATTTACTCAGAGCAACGGCAGGGGGCTCGAAGGGGAGGGTGTGCAACTATACGTTACCCACCGCCACGGGTACGCCGGCGTCTATAATTCTTTGCTTCTGCTGGTGGTGGTGGTGCTGCTGCTACTGTTGCTGCTGCTGTTGCGCGCAATGGTGCCTCGCTCCGGATTTTTTTGTTAGTCCAGGAGAGGAGAAGGTAACGATACGGCTGCCACTCCACAGATTTTCCTTTTTTCGGGCCTCCTGGGAGGCCCTCGTCGCCAGCGCTGGGTTCACTTCGAAATCCTGGTCGGAACGCGCCCCAGGAGAGGTCCGAGGAGTAGTGGTATCAGTACCTATTGGTTTCCCCGGGTGCCTCGCTTACGATTTCCGTGCCGGTGTTGCACAACGTTTTGATTTGCAAGTTGGTCGGCGTGCTCTTTGCCCCAGAGAGGGTGCGTGCCAATGCTCGCGCGCTCAAGCCGTGTTGCGCGAGCCTTCATTTTGTAGACCTTCGGGCCTTGCAGCCTATGTCCCCCGACTCCCCCACGGCGTGCCTCGCACGCTGCCAAGCCGAAGCGTACCGCGCCGCTACTCTGGTGGTGTGGCGTTGCATTTACGCGAAATTCTGCACCACTGCGGCGCAATCTGTCCACAAGCGAACGGTGCGTCTGCAAGATTTAGCGCATCGGCGCTGGCTCACAGCTCTGCTCACGACATCGCCACCTGCCAGGCCTGCGCACGCCAGGATCCTATCCCTCGCCCAGAGACCATGGCTGTTGATCACCCCGCAGGCCAGCCGGCAGAGGACGAGGCTACGTTCACCCATGGTTGCTGCAAGGTCGTGCCCGAAACGCCGATCACGGAGGTTCCGTGAAGCTGAGATGGAATGTGTGCGTATTTGACCACTTCACCGGCACCGCCACCACCTTCCGGAGCTCTGCGAGCTTGACGTCCACTCGGGGCAAGCTCAGTAGCTGTCTTGCGGATAGTTGAGGCCCTCCTCCGTCTGCCTGCCATTGATGTTGGCACCTCAAGGTGTTGTGGCACCTGCTCGTCTTGCACCCCAGCATCACGCAGATTCGGCGGGCTGCATCTTCAAGGCTCGCCGAGGCAGCCATGAGTTCAGGATTGAGAAATTATACAGTGCTTCCCCCCCAATCTGGATACGCACAGGAAGGTCCAGAATTTCGTGAAACACGCGCAACACCTTGATGTCCCCAGCGTGTCGCGCACTGACCTCGCCTGGCTCCCCAGGCGTGCTCCAAGCGAGGTCGTCCTAGAAGGGGCACAAGGCACAGGATCGGCCCGCAGCAGGATGTAAACGAGCTGCGCCTCGGCCAACATAACTTTCCTTGGACAGAGAGGTGCGAGCCTCGAGCCTGGCACCTCCATTGTGCCTCTGGTCAGCGGCGGGCGATGGGGGGAAGTGAGAAGGGGCAAGTCTTCTCAAAGGGCGGCGGGGCTTCTCAGAAGCCCTCCAGCCCCCTGATTTGTTTTGTGTCTTCGGGGAATGCTTGGAACATGTCTCAGAAGGCCAGCGAAATTCTGAGCCTTTTGAGAAGGTCAGCCCCTGCTCACTTCCCCCCCGGGCTCGCCGCCAAACGGTGTCTCTGGCCTTTCTCCCTGGCGTGTAGGCACCCTCCGCCATGATCCTCCTGCCCGTGCTGCTGATCCAAAGAATGAAACGCAGGGCGCGAATGGGGAACATACCCATAGCTCCCCTGTCGATTACATCGTGTGCAATCTCACGTAGTCGAAGCACTCGATGATATCCAGGTAGGTAGCGGCGTACCCGTATCCCTGCGAGCACGCCGTTTCGCAGTCCAAAGGCTGCATCATCGCAGGGCGCTTGCTCGACCTCCCCGCCGCGGTCCGACCGTAGGCTTGCCAGCCACGACCTTCGCGCGCGCACGCTCTCCCAGATCGGGCGAGCTCGGGGCGCCTCCCTGGGGGTCAGGCTGCAGGGAGAGCAAGATTGTCTACGACGACAGCCACCGGAGGGCTTCAGCTATTCACCTACGGCAGGCTCGTGCCGTGTCAACGCAGCAGCGGCCCCAGCGCCGACGTTCAATGTGAGAACATGGTACACCTCGCGAGAGCGTTCCGCCCTGTCAAGGGTCTCTCTCGGAGGGGCCGCCTGCACATCGGCCCCCAGTTGTGCGTCGTGATCCGCCAGCTGGTCACGTGCCTGGGACATCGAGCCTGCTCGCATGGGTATCGTCCTCGGCTCCCTCGGCGCGGACCCAGCCTCACCCCCTGGAGATCGCCCTCGGCCGAGGAGGAGACATGCAGCAGCGCCGAGCGGGGGACACGCGCTCTCCAGGAGCTCGGTTCGGCCGAGCAGTTCTCGGCCCCCGAGCGGCAGCCCCACGGCGCAGCCCGGGGACGCGGTCCGTGCTCGGCCTCGGCGGCCGCCCCCTCCTGGTCCGGGAGCACGCGCCCGGGCCCTGTGGCCTCGAGCCCTTCCGTGGGCCCTGCGCCGAGCCATCGGGGCGGGCCCGTGGCGAACCCAGGGGGGCGGGGGGGGGAGGCCCCGAAGGCGGGGTGGTCGGTGTCTTCCTGCGCGGGCACGGTGGGGAGGGATGCGGCATGCTCGAAGATGATGGGACCGTGGGCGCCAGCGTCCGTTGATGGGACCCCGCGTTGGCTGCCCACACGAGGCACCGAGGAGGAGGAGGAGGAGGAGAAATGAGAAAGGAGGAGGAGGAGGAGGAGGAGAAAGGAGGAAGGAGCAGAGGGGAGCGAAGGGGTACTCGTGAGGAGGGTGGGTGGCAGGATGAGGTGGGGGCGGAGGGGGAGGAGGAGGCGGAGGGGGAGACAAGGAAGGATGGGAGCTACAGCAGGTGGAGAGGAGAAGGAGGAAGATGCGGGCGGAAGGAGGAGGAGGACCAGTGTAAACCCAAGAGTCACCAACGATGTTGGAATATGCCCTCCCTCCAAGCTCCCTCTTCATAGGCCCCTACAACGGTTCATTTCCACTGAGGGAATTGCCTCGGTGGAGAAGAACCGTTAGAAGACCCTGAAGTATGCCAAAACATTGTTCTCGGGATTCCAACGCCACGGATCAACCTGATTGTTGCGTCTTGACGATTCTGAATCATGCCAGACCGCAATTCTTGGGACTTCAACGCCGCGAATCAACTTAACTGTTGTATCCTCGTACCCCTGAGCCCTTCTAAAATACCATGTTTGGTACGCTGGTTACGGTAATCCGTGAAACTCTTGCACAGGCTAAGAACAAAATAATTGATGTGCGCGGTGCTAGGGCGAGAGCCACATTCAGAAAACCATTCGCCCTCGATTCGCGAAGTTCTTGCACACGTTTAAACGAATGCACGCGGCGCTAAAGCGAGAGCCACATTTTGAAAACGGCCCGCCCTCAATCGGTGAAACTCTTACAGGCGTTGAGGCGAAAGCCACATTTTGAACACCACCCGCTGTCAATCCGTAAAACTCCTGCAAGTGTTTAAAACGAATGTACGCGGTGCTGAGGCGAGAGCCACATTTTGAAAACCATCCGCCCTCCATCCGTGAAGCACTTGCAAATTGTTGCAGCGAATGCGCGCGGCGCTGAGGCGAGAGCCATATGTTGAAAACCACCCTCCCTCGATCCACGAAGCTTTTGCACATGTTTTAAGCCAACTGTGCGCGGCACTAAGGCGAGAGCCACATTTTGAGAACGACCCGCCCTCCATCTGTGAAACTGTTGTCGATTGCTAAGCTTCAGGGCCATACTTGGTGGGTAAGCCTCAGGCGGGACGCCCGGCCCGCCCTGAAAACTTGCCCCAGGTTGCGACAGGGACAAGTTTTTTTGTCAGGACAAGGAATGGAGGAGGAGGAGGAGGAGGAGAAGGACGAGGAGGAGGAGGAGGAGGAGGAGGAGGAGGAGGAGGACGAGAGGAGGAGGAGGAGGAGGAGAAGGAGGAGGAGGAGGAGGGGGGGGGGTCTGGGAAGGAGAGGGAGGAACAAGCAGGAGAGCAGAGAGGAGGAGGAAGGAGGAAGGAGGCGCCCGCGGCCCCGCGGCCCCGCGCGGCCAGCTCGGTCGCTGCGCCGAGCGCCCGCGGCGAGACGCGCGCGCAGAGAGAAGCCCCGCGCGCCCCCCCCGCGGAGAAGGGTCCCCCCCCCCCCTCCTCCCTCCTCTCCTCCTCCTCCTCCTCCTCTCCTCCTCTCCTCCTCCCTCCTCCTCCTCCTCCTCCGCCTCCTCCTCCTCCTCCTCCTCCCCCTCCTCCTCCTCCCTCCTCCTCCTCGCCTCCTCCTCCCTCCTCCTCCTTCCTCCCTCTCCTCTCCTCCTCCTCCTCCTCCTCCTCCCTCCTCCTCCATTCCTTATCCTGACAAAAAAACTTGTCCCTGTCGCAACCTGGGGCAAGTTTTCAGGGCGGGCCGGGCGTCCCGCGTGAGGCTTACCCACCAAGTATGACCCTGAAGCTTAGCAATCCTCCTCCTCCTCCTCCTTCTCCTCCTCCTCCTCCTCCTCCTCCTCCTCCTCCTCCTCCTCCTCCTCCTCCTCCCCCTCCTCCCCCTCCGCCCCCTCTTCCCAGTCGGAGTCCCGAGTCATCGGGGCTGCGGGTGGCCATTGGTGCGGTCGGACCGAGGCAAATGATCGAGGTCGGTTCGGGGAGGGTGCCTTGATTTTCTTCGTGCTCGCGGGCTGATCTCGTGCATCCCCTGGGGGAGAGTACCCTCGACTGTTCTTCAGTCTGGCCGGCGGAAGGTCTGATGTTCTTTCGGGATGTCGCACCTCGGGTGCCCAGATCGGAGTTGCCCCGCACCAGAGTTCTCCCGGATGGTTCGGGCGTCCAGCCACTTCCGAATCATCGGGGCTGGTGGTGGTCAGTGGTAATTCTTGGTTCATGCGTCGGGGCCGAAACGGGAGTTACTCAGGACCAGCGTTATACCAGAGAGCACAAACATGATTCTCAAGGCTTACGCCACATCCGCCGACCCCTCTATAAACTATGGCACCTCCAGTTTCTTGTTGCTTCGTTGCTGTTATCGTACATGTTGGTGTTCTTTTGTGGCCTTTTGGTGGCCTCTTGGCATGTCTGCAGGCCGTATCCGGCCGCCTCGAGGCATTTTGGGCCAAGTGTTGGGGCTTATTGGGGGCTTCCTGGGGGCTTCTTGGAGGCCTTTGGGATTCTCTTGGGGGTCCCTCAGGGCCTCTTGGGGTGTTCTTGGGGCAGGCTGGCTGCGGGCGTCTTGAGGCCGAAGGGCCGAACAGATGCCCTCTGGACTCTCTCTGGGAGCCGTCTGGGGGCCCTCCTGGGCTGTCTTGGAGGCTTCGTGGGCTGTTTTTGGACCCTCTTCGACCCATCTTGTGGACCCCTTCGGCCGTCCGGGGGCGATATTGAAGGTTTCTTTGCCCGTCTTGGACGTTGTGAAAGCCGAAAATACGAGTATGCGACACATGCTAATTTTGTCAAAGGGAATGGGACCCTCTTGGGACGCATCTTGGAAGCCTTGTGGGGCGTCTTGGCAGCTTCGGAGGCCGTCTGGAGGCCATCGTGGGCGTCAAGGAGCGATATTTCGGCGACTCGTGGCCTTCTGGGACCGTCTGGGGAGCGTTTTGGTGCTCCTGGCCCGCTCCTTAGTGGCGCGTTCAGTCCGGGGTCGGGCTCGGCCAGGGGGAGGGGGGGGGTCAAATTGCCGGTTTGGGGTCCCTGGGGGGGAATTATGTGGGGGGGATCATCTCACACGCCTGGAGACCCACAAGGGGTGGGCGGATTCCTCGGAGGTCCTCTCGGATTCCTTGGATCGGCGCTGGGCCGATCCAAGACATCTGCGCGGACGTCCAAGCAAGTATGGTCATGCAGTTGTTCGTTCTTCTGCGGCCACGATGCTGAAATCAGGAAGAGCTTCGGTTCGGAAGCGGGGCCCGATGTTCCTTAAGTGCTTCCATGGCTGTTTCCCTAGCGCTCCTTGTCCACGCAGGCCATGTTGGGGCCCAGAGAGGGCTGCGCTAATTATCCAGCGTTCCTTGTCTCAGAAGCCCAACTGTACTCTCCTGTTGGTGCTGCTGGGGGCAGATCTCTCCTGCGGATCGGAGACCCCTTTCCTGCCCTCACTCCCGCCCAGACGCAGTTCTTGACGGGCAGAGGACTCCTGCGCGTGGGCCGCCTGCGGCCGATCGAGGAGGAAAAAACACGGTGAGGGGCGACCCGACGAGGGAGGGACGGAGGAAACGCGGGAGAGGCGGAGCGGGGGGGTCATCAACACCTCTGGCGCTCCTGCCCAGATCCGTGGGCCCAGAACATCGGTGGCACCGGCTGCCTCTAGCGAGAGTAGGTTGCAGTCGTCTTCGAACAGCTCGAACCGGCTCGAAAAATGCGGCCCGTCCCGGGACTCTCACATATCGATCGGGCTTGAGAAATGACGCAGACAGGTGGGGTCCAGGGCTCCAGTCGTGATTTCTGCGATGTTGCAATTTTTGTGCAACATCGGATCGAAGGGGCGGCCATCCTTCCTCGCTCGGGCACGGAGAACGCCCGCCCAGACAAGTCGGCTGAAGAAAGATGCACGGGATCGCTCGACATTGGCAGACAGGCGTGGAGGTGCGGTTCCTGGTCGGTTTCGCTAATCGGCGGGCGCTCGGATAAGTTCGGTTGTTTCTTGCACGTCGAATAGTGATTCCGCCCTGATTCATTGGGAATGTCGCCGCGCGCACCCGTGAAGTGCCCCATCAGCTCTCGTTAAAGGGCGTTTTGCAAAAGGGGGCTCTGTAAATCATCAATTATTCTTTCCTGACCACTTCTCCCCCTGATTTACCCTCCTCCTCCTCCTCGTCCACCTCGCCTCCTTTTTTCTTCAGCATCAGCTCGGCATGTTTCTAGAGCTTTCTCGTAACAAGCCAGTTGGATGGGCAGACCACGTTGAACACCGCGCGGGCGCGGGGTATATGGGCCTGGCAGTCCCTTGATCAAGGGAAGCCATGGTTGAAACATCACAGAACTGACGCCCTTCAAATCACAAACAGCACGTGGCCCGTGGCACATCTAGGCCTCCCAGACGGGGTCCGAGTGGATGGGGTCGGAGCATCGCGTCACATCGCAGATGCATCGGCGATGCGGCTCGATGTGGAGCCCGGTCCTCCGCGCCGACGGCGCCGATGCATCACCGATGTCGCCGATGCATCGGTGATGCATCGGCGATGCAGGGCGATCCTGCGACCCCATCTACTCCGACCCCACATGGTAGGCTTCTGATGTGTGAGTGCTGACCTGACGGGAAGCCGATTTTTATCAACATGTGCGCGAGGGCGACGGCATCCAAAGGACAAGCGTTCGCCACCGACCGGTCGGTTCCATCCTTTTAGTGCCAGCGGTTCGGACGCGTTTGGCCGCTGATGTCGGGTCTTCGGCGTGGGCGATGGGCAAGGCAGTGTGGCATCGACAAGGAATCGGGGGGCCAACCTGCGAGCGGCGAACGTAGCCACGTGTCCGCGCCCTCGCGGTCTGGATTCTGGGGCGCGGTCCCGCGGACACGCCGTCGCCCTGGCCCGTTCCGCGCGGGGCACCCACGAGCGAAGGCATGCCCAGCGTCCGCGGGCTCGAGGCCCGGGGGCCCGGCCCGCGAGGCAGCGATGTTGCCGGGCTGCGGGTCCGGAAGAGAACCGCGGGGCCGAAATCGAAGAACGTGCATCCTCGGGCCGAACGAAAGGGGGGATAGGGAAAGGGGGGCCTACAACATCTGCTGCATTCAGCTGGTTTCGGCCCCGCCGCCGGGCCCATTCCTCGATACGTGGGCGCCTCCCGGCGCCGGGAGGCGCTGGGAAAATCAGCTACGTGAGTTGATTCTCTACCCTACCCTTTGCTATCCCCCCTTTTTGTTCCTCCCGATTTTCGGGCCGCGTGGACTGAGTTCCTGCGAGCCTGGCCACTAGGAGGGGTCCTTCTGCGGGCAGTCTGCGGATGCGAGCGGCCCCCTCCAGAAGATCAAGAGTCGTGGGGTGATTCCTGGGTCAAGCAGATGGAGATCCTGCGCTCTGCAAGGGGGAGGGTAACGAAAAAACATCTGCAGGCGCTTCCCCTCCCGCGGGAAGCACATCTGCAAACTGGCTTGCAATTGCGCAGTGTTGTTGCGGGTCCGGAATGCAACCGCTGGGCCAAACACGCAGAACCGTGTTCGTGTGACGTAGGCTGCGCCCCGGCGGGTCCGCGCATCACCGCGCAGCACCGCGCTCAGCTGCATCTCCCCAGGAGCTTCCGAGTGCGGCTGAAGTTGCGCAGCTGGCACCACACGGGGAGGCGAGGTCTCATTCTCGTCCGGGTAGCACCGCGCTTGGGTGGACCCCCCCCCAGGGGTTCTCGAAATTGGGGGTAGCTGCGCATGGGTAGCACCGCGCTCTGCTGGACCCCTCCCAAGGGACCCACGAAAGTGTCCACAGTTGACGACCCAGGGAGGCGGGGTCCCAGTCTAAAATGGAAAGGACTGCACTCCGCTATACCGCCCTACGCGGGCCTGCGAATGCGGTGACATTTGCGCAGTTGGAAGCACCCAGGGAGGATCAGGGAGGCGAGGTCTCGTCTTGATTTCCGTAGCACCGCTCCCCGCTGGATCTCCAGTAGATCGCCCTTGGTCTGCGTGCGACGTATCATTCTGATTCGGGTGGCGCCGCGCTCAATGGGACCCCGCCAGGAGCCCACGGAAGTGGCGACATTTGCGCAATTGGTAGCACCCAGGGAGGCGAGGTTTCATCCAGATCCGGGTGGCACCGCGCTCCACGGGACCCCCACCCACGCGAGCCTACGAAAGTCGTTGCAGTTGCACAGTCGGCAGCACCCAAGCAGACGAGGTCTCATTCTGATCTGGGTATCACGGCACTCGGCTGGAACGCCCAGCATCCCAGGGAAGATGCGACAGCTACGCAGTCGGCAACACGCAGGGGAGCGAAGTCTCATCCCAATCTGGTCTCATTCCATCCAACGGGAGTGTCGAGATTCGCGCAGCTTGCAACGCACAAGAAGGCGGAGGCCCATTTTGTTATGGATAGCTCCGTATTCAGCGTGGCGCCCCAGTAGCTCGCGAAAGTACCGACCATTGCGCTGCTGGCAGCAGTTGCCAGTCAGCGAGGATGGGGTCGGATGCATGATTAACTGGGAGGCTGGGGAGCAGCGAGGTGGGATGGGAGGCGGCGGGAGAAAAAGAGGAGCACCAATGCTTTGTCCAGAACGAAGATCCAACACCGAAGGGGTGGCAATAACATGGTTTCTCACTTGGATCCTGGAATATCCTACACCCCCCGTTCGCCCCTCTCTTTCCTTCTCCCCTTTTTCTCCGCTTCCCTCTCTTCCCCATCTCCCCACCTTCTCCACCTTCCATACCCCTCCTCTTCTCCCTCGCTCTCTCTCTCTCTCTTTCTCTCTCTCTCTTTCTCTCCCTCTCTCTTCGCCCTTTCTGATTCTCCCCCTTCTCCGGACCCCCCTCTCGACGTCGGCCTCCTATTTGTTCGCGTTGATCCCCGGGATCCGTTCCCCCACTTGAGAACCGCGCGCGGAGAACCGCAATTCAGGCGGGACCTCCTCCTCCATCCATCGGTCAACAAGGAATGCGACAGAGCGGGGCCACAGAGCTCAGGGAAGTGCCCAGCGACAACCCCAATTAGGAAAAGAAGCGCCCTCCACCCGTCTAACTGTTACAATGGCTCAGACTTTCTATTGTGTCATCTCGCGAAGCCACAAGCGATGGCCCCATCTTGAAGACGGATCGCTCTCTGTCCGCGCAACTGCTGCTGGAATGTTTTCTACGCCAGTGTGCGAGAGCACCATCTTGACACCGGCCCGCCCTCAATCCGTGTAATCGTTGAATTGTGAGGCGTGTGTGTGTGTGGGTGTGTGTATGTGTTTGTGTGTGTGCGTGTGTGTGTGTGCGTGCGTGCGTGCGTGCGTGCGTGTGTGTGTGTGTATGTGTGTGTGTGTGTGTGTGCGGCGCCGAGGCGGGAGCCCCATCTCGTGTTCCGTCCGTGTGACTGCTGGAACTTCGGGCTTCAATGCAGTGGAGGCCCATGCCAAGAAACACCCTGCTTGCATCCAAGGTGCTCTGGGTTTCTTGGACTTCGATGGTTTTGCTGTGGAAAGCGTGGGCGCTCCCACGCCAAAGACCAATGGAAGTCAGGGTTGGGTTTCTTGTGCAAGGTTTCTGGTGGACGGGCCCACACTGTATCTTAAACGGTGAGGACGTCTCAGGCGAAACGCCGGGCCTGCCCTCACCTCACATTTGGCGGTGCGACTCGGAGGAGTTGCTCGTGAGTGGGAGGGTTGGATGGGGGGGCGACGGGGAGGGAGGCGGGGGGGGAGACGGGGTGGAGAACGATCCTCGAAGCTCGACCGCTCTCCCCCGTGAGCAACCAGCCCTCCACAAGGGCAACCCGCGCCGACCGCCGCACGCGCGCCCGCAGGTCGTGACGTGCAGCTCCCTCGGGGGGCCAGTTGGCTCCCGGCTCAACGTGACGAGGGCGAAGGCGCTCCAGGCAGGGCTTCCTACGATCCGATTCGACCAGATTCGATCCCCAGACCCAGTCTTCTGTGTTACATATATCCATATATGTATACGCATTGTTACATGTACATGTATATATAAATAAAATGTTTGTACATATTTACATATATTTATATACACTTATGCACAGACACATATGTACATATACACTAGAACCATCACGCGCGCTTCGCGCTCTCAAATTCTAGTTAGGCTTGATAGGCTAACTCATGGAATCTCAGTTTGGTCGCTTCTTGCGTCCAGGGGCTCCCTTGGAGGCCCTACGCAAGCTTCGGAATCGTATAGACGGGGAAGTGCGGAAACGCAGAAATCATTAATTTCATTCCACGATTTGGGGCCCTCAAATGCTTCGTGTTTTTCTGGGGGGGGGAAAGAGGTGAGGGGGGGTCTGAATTGTGGTCTCTTGTGCAAGAGTCGACTGGGGGCCAAACTTGGAAAACAAACAAAAGGAATTATGGGATTTCCATTTTTCCCAACCATCCTGTGGTGTTGGGTCCTCGTTTTGAAGAGACGGTGCCCCGCGTTCCTCTTCTCCTCCGCCTCCCCCTCCTCCTCCCTCCTCCCATCATCATCATCATCATCATCATCATCATCATCATCATCATCATCATCATCATCATCATCATTGCATTGTTCCCCACCACCCATTTCGGCACACCCCTCACACGTTTCGTGGCCCCATAGGGAGCTCCACCGAAGGCCCCAGTGGCAGGGTCCGCTTGCCTCCCCACCACCCATGTCGGCACACCCCTCACACGTTTCGTGGCCCCATAGGGAGCTCCACCGAAGGCCCGAGGGCTGCCGCCCGCATGCGTCCCCAACACCCATTTCGGCACACCCCTCACACGTTTCGTGGCCCCATAGGGAGCTCCACCGAAGGCCCCATGGCTGCCGTCCGCATGCGTCCCGCACACCCATTTCGGCACACCCCTCACACGTTTCGTGGCCCCATAGGGAGCTCCACCGAAGGCCCCATGGCTGCCGTCCGCATGCGTCCCGCACACCCATTTCGGCACACCCCTCACTCGTTTCGTGGCCCCACAGGGAGCTCCACCGAAGGCCCCAGTGCTGCCGTCCGCATGCGTCCCGCACTCCCATTTCGGCACACCCCTCACACGTTTCGTGGCCCCACAGGGAGCTCCACCGAAGGCCCCAGTGCTGCCGTCCGCATGCGTCCCGCACACCCATTTCGGCACACCCCTCACACGTTTCGTGGCCCCATAGGGAGCTCCACCGAAGGCCCCAGTGGCAGGGTCCGCATGCCTTCCCACCACCCATTTCGGCACACCCCTCACACGTTTCGTGGCCCCATAGGGAGCTCCACCGAAGGCCCCAGTGGCTGCGTTCGCATGCCTCCCCACCACCCATGTCGGCACACCCCTCACACGTTTCGTGGCCCCATAGGGAGCTCCACCGAAGGCCCCAGTGGCAGGGTCCGCTTGCTCCCCACCAACCATTTCGGCACACCCTCACACGTTTCGTGGCCCCATAGGGAGCTCCATTGAAGGCCCCAGTGACTGGGTTCGCATGCCTCCCCACCACCCATTTCGGCACACCCCTCACACGTTTCGTGGCACCATAGGGAGCTCCACTGAAGGCCCCAGTGACTGGGTTCGCATGCGCCCCCACACCCATTTCGGCACACTCCTCACACGTTTCGTGGCACCATAGGGAGCTCCACCGAAGGCCCCTGTGGCAGGGTTTGCATTGTTCCCCACCACCCATTTCGGCACACCCCTCACACGTTTGGTGGCCCCATAGGGAGCTCCACTGAAGGCCCCAGTGACTGGGTTCGCATGCCTCCCCACCATCCATGTCGGCACACCCCTCACACGTTTCGTGGCCCCATAGGGAGCTCCACCGAAGGCCCCAGTGGCAGGGTCCGCATGCTCCCCACCACCCATTTCGGCACACCCCTCACACGTTTCGTGGCCCCATAGGGAGCTCCACCGAAGGCCCCAGTGACTGGGTTCGCATGCCTCCCCACCACCCATTTCGGCACACCCCTCACACGTTTCGTGGCACCATAGGGAGCTCCACCGAAGGCCCCAGTGGCTGCGTTCGCATGCCGCCCCCCGCACCCATTTCGGCACACTCCTCACACGTTTCGTGGCCCCACAAGGAGCTCCACCGAAGGCCCCAGTGGCTGCGTTCGCATGCCGCCCCCACACCAACTTCGGTGCACCCCTCACACGTTTCGTGGCCCCATAAGGAGCTCCACCGAAGGCCCCAGTGGCAACGTTCGCATGCGCCCCCACACCCATTTCGGCACACCCCTCAAACGATTCGTGGCCCCATAGGGAGATCCACCGAAGACGGTACTCACACCAGCATTATTCACAACTGCATATGGTTGGGTCCTTCGCCAGGCTAATTTGTTTGTGACTCGTGGGGTTTTGTCAGCCAGGCTCTTCAGGGGTGCGGGATCTTCCGGACCCCCTGGGGGTCCTGGAGGCTTCCTGGAGGCCTGGAGAACCGTCGGAAGGATGTCTCGGGCTGCGCGGGAGCGTGTCGGGCCGTTCTTTACGTTCTGGGGGTTCCTTGGGGTCGTCTTGGGCTGTCCTTGGGCGTCTTGGGGGACCCCCGGTTGTGTGTGCAAAGTCAGAGCCTCAATTTAGTCATCAACCTCGCATTATTCCTGGTGTGATCAACCGGAAAACTCCCTTTCTCTCCGCTTCTGCTCCTCGGTGCGCCGCTCGCGCTCCCCTCCGGCTCTTATCCTTCGCCCCCCTTCTCTATCCTTAGCCGCTCCCTGCTCCAATTGTCCATCATTCGCTTGGCCCGGAGGTGGCCCTCGAGGCTTTGGCATCGGACCTCCCTTCCTCTCATCTTCGCCCCCCCCCCCCCCCTTGCGCGACTGTCCAGACCGTTGCGCCCCCGGCGAAAAATTCGCGAGAGTCCGGGCCCCCCGCGAAGAATCCGCGAGAGTCCCGCGAAAGATTCGCGTGAGTCCTTCGCGCCATGCGTTGTCTTCTGAGGCGCCCCCCGGGCTACCTCGCCCCCGTGAACCCCCCCCCCTGGGCGATTCGCGAGGGCTGTTCCCGCGCGAGACCACCCTGGGCGACTCGTGCAGGAATTGGGCGGCGGAGACCCCCCTGGGCGACTCCACCGCTCGGACCGACCCCCTTGGGGCGAGTCGGCCCGTCCTGGACCCTCCCCGGGCGATCCAGGACCCCCCGCACCCTCCCAGGCGAGCGGGTCTACGGGAAATGCCCCCGCCGAAACTCCCCTTTTTGGAGGAACTTCTGACGAACCAACAACACACCCCCATATCCATAGGGGGGTCGGAGAGGGCTACGGGTGCGCGTTGTCGGATGGGGGTCCCCGCCCGAACGCTCCCAGGGTCCGACAACCAGCACCCATACCTATAGCCAGTCCTCCTCCCAACGACCCCCCTATGGGTATGGGTGTGTGTGTGTTGTTCGTTCGTCAACTTTGGCAGGGGCTATCCGCGCCGGGGCGGCAGTCGAACCCCCCCGCACGATCGACCGCGGTAGATCCCTCCCACATAAGAAAATACCAAACACATAAAAAATAAAACAACACAATGCAACACACATGAAAACACACACACACGCAAACACTCACACACACACACACAAAAAAAACACCGGACGGAACATACAAAAAAACACAGGAACACACACAAACCACACACAACAATGACTAAATTATGGATCTGACTTTGCACACCTCACTCCCGAAAACCGGGAGGCGCGGTACCGGCCAGATGTCAGGGGATGTGCGGGATCCCCGACTGGGAGTCCATTTTTACAAAAAAAAATAATTCTTTGACGTTTTTCTTCAAAATCCTCGATCTTCACGGGTTGTAAGCGGGAAAACGTGATAAGGGAACAGTAATAGAAAACCATTGGAAATCGACGAGTTTACCCTCTTTGGGCTCTCTCGGGACTGCTTGAGAGCATCTTCGGCTGTTCTTTTGCATTTGAGGGGTTTTTGGGGCTGTCTTGGGGCGTCCTGGAGCGTTTTGGGAGTTCCCCGGGAGGCCGGGGAGCGCGTTACTGGGTGCCTCTTCGGCAATTTTGAGTTTTTTTTGGCCTGTCTTGGACCCGTCCTGAGAGTCTTTTGGCCGGTTTTGGGGCGGTCTTGGACCGTTGGAAGCTCGGAAACGCGAGAAGGCCAAAAACATCGAAACAAAAAAAACACAATCGGCGATTTTGACCCGGTACGCCTCTCGGACCTCTCTTGGGACCTTCGAGAGGCCTCCTGGAGGCTTAGAGAGCCGTCGGAAGGGTGTCTCGGGCTGCTTGGGAGCGTCTTTGGCAGTTACGTTCTGGGGGCTCCTTGGGGTCGCCTTGGGCTGTCCCTCGGTGTCCTGGGGTCTCACCCCGCGAAGCTTGGAGGTGCGGTACCGGCCAGATGTCAGTGGGACCCCCGAGTAGGAGCCCCATTTTGAAGCAACAAATGAATTCTGGGAATTCTTTTTTTTCTCGAAATCCTCGATCTTCGAGGATTGGAAGCGGGAAAACATGAGAAGGCGAAAAACATTAGAACAACCACAGGAAATCAACGATTTGACCGTCTTTGGGCTCTCTCGGGACGGCTCTCGCAGCTCTCTTTGGCTGTTCTTGGACCCTCGTCGCGGTATTTTTGGGCCTCTCAGGGATCGGGGGTGTGTTTGGGGCCTCTGAGGGGTCCCGGAGGCCTCTCGGAGGTCTCTTGAAACCTCCTGCTCCCGCTCTTGGCCCATCTTGGGCCTGTGCTGGGGTGGTCTGGGGCTGTCCTGGGCGCCTCCTCGGCGGTCTTGTAGCCTTCTTGGCCCGTCTTGGGGCCGTCCTGAGGGTCTCTTGGGTGGTCTTGGGGCGGTTTTGGGAGCCTCTTCGGCGCTCTTGGACCGTTGGAAGCTCGAAAACGCAAGAAGCCAAAAACATTGAAAAAACAATGACAATCGACGATTTTGGCCTCTTCGGGCCGTCCCGGGACGCCTGTCGGACCTCTCTTGGGGTCTCT